ACATGGCTTCCTCGGCTATGATGTGCTGCTGAGCCGAGCAAGAAATTCTTGAAAGGTGTTTGGCTTATTTTGACACAATGTCCAGCGGAAAATCGAGTTCGGTTTCAACCCGGCAATAGCCATGACAAGCAGGGTTTCGGGATGACAAGGCTCCATATTCTGGACTCGGTCATTAAATCGGGCGATATAGTCCTTGACACTTTCATCATCTTTTTGGGTTACGTTTGCAAGAGATTCTTTTGGAATTAGGCAGACTTGGGCCCCGATGAAATGTGATCAGAACGCCGACCTCAATTGTTGCCACTTCCAAATAGAGTGAGGAGGAAGAGAATGGTACCATTTTTGGGCCCGAGGCCCCAGTGTGAGAGAAAACATACGACACCAGAGTGCGTCTGAGGCCCCATGCAGATCCATCCACGAAGTATAATGACCGAGGTGTGAATCAGGGTCCGAAGTTCCATCATATAGCCCAATTTGAGGGACTTTAACTTTCCCAGGTACGGGTTCTGACGTAAGCTCCGGTATGAGAGGGGAGTCGGCTTCCAGATATACTTACGCCGAGGTTGAGGCCCGCCGAGGGGGGTCTTCGGGTGCTCGTTGCCGACTTTCAAATTCGGCAATTCTTCGTCGCAATGTTTCAAGTTCGGATGACTCTTGACGAGCTCGATTTCGTTCTATGTGTTGCCGAAGGTCGGTCTGCGCCGGGTTGGAGGGGATGCGGTGCCGCGCATGAGGCGGTGACCGTCGTGAATGACCAGACTGGCTTTCAGCGGTTTCTTCATGAGGAAGTATAGAGGGATTGCGCCCAACGTCGGTGCGACGTGTGGTTTGTTCCGGAGGCGGCTGTGACGCTCGACTGCGGGGTTGAGACGTGGCGTGAGATGTGGTCCTTCCGTCGTCTTGCCGTGCCGGTGGATTCTGTGGATTTGCAGGTGTCGTGGGTATTATGGAATGTCCTGAGGCAGTCGTTGACGCTCCAGGAATCGTTTGAGCCATCAAGGTGGCGAACCCACGTGCGAACTCTGGATTTTGGAATAGAACAGTGTAATCCGGTACATGGGGGGCTACGACTGGTCGTCGGGTGGATTGCGCGGCGTTGCGACTGTGACTGTGACCATCGCGTGAAGTATGGCCACGATTATCAGAATGAGACATGATTGGTGTAACTGATGTGGATCGCTTAAACACGAATCAGAAAGTAACCTCAAATCACTTATGAGGTCCTTCCTCTAGCGCCAAACTGTTGTCGTATGATTCTTAACAACGATTTAACCTGGAGTTTATGTGATAATGTCGAGTGGTTCGGACGTAACTTATGCAAGAAAAACTCAGCAGTGGCCCCGGTCCGAGGTGGACCGAGGTGAAAAGCCTCTATGGGCTGTTACGTGTTGCATTGTGAATCTTGAATGTTTGGGTTCGGAATCGAATCCTGTACCAGTATCACTTGCCAGTTATTTATAGTAACTTTTTGATACATACATTGGGATCCGTGTACGATTTTTTAGGAAAAGCTACTTTTGATGGGCGGCCGAATCAGTGGGCCCTACATGAATGATGACAAATCTCGTAGATTGTGACAGGGGCGTGTAGGCGCCTTGTCACCTGCTTTAGGAGGTGACGAGCTCGGTTCATGTTGACCTCGGTTTGGATTGACCTCGGCGGGAAAGGATCACTTCGGTCTTCTAGGGTCATTCCGGTTTATTGTGCGAACCGGGACGACTCTAAGTTACATCGGTATCCGAGTCAAATTTGCTTATGGTGCTGTTTTGGGTCCTTAATTACGCTTTACCGAGTCGGATGATAACAAAATGCATTATAAAACCATTGAGTAGAACATTATATAAACTAATATTTGACAATAAACGCACCTCGGAATCATGAAAAAAAACACTCAATACCCCCATGGGTCTAATCCTTTCGTACATCATAATTAGACTAAGTCAACGCCTATTGTGACATTGAGTCCGTCAATTTTTTTGAATGACACAAAGAGGGGATCCTTTTTTTTCATTTTTGAAGCTTTGTTGAGTACGTCTAGAATATGTCTTTTGTGTTTCGATCGTAATATCAATCTTATTCACTGTTATATAATCACATCACACGTAAAGATGGTAATATGTTTATTAATTAATAAATAATTTTTAACTTATATGCATTGCAATCATTTCAAAAATCACGACCAAACCAATCATATGAGGTAGTTATTAATAATAGATTATGAATATTAATTTAACCAAAATTATGAATCTAAGAAATCATACCAAATTTATCATTGGTAAGTGATCCGTGAATATCTAAAAATATAGGCTTGTAAGGCTAACCAATATATGGATTATTAATAAATATTATTAGTTAACTTAGTGTGATTTAAAAATAAGCATATTACCATTTTTATGTAAGTTCGAAATATCATGCGTGACTATGTTAATATATTACCAAATAAAGATTAATCCAGAATCCCTGAAGATAAATGTTTTCTTGATCCTACCGATATATCATGCATGAATATGCCAAAAAATATTCAATATATTATGTGTAAATATACAATGACTTACCAAATGAATATAAAATGACATAACGAAAAATATTTTTAAAATTATCCAAAAAAATTGTAGGCGAGAAATAGTTACCCAATCATCAAATATTAATTTATTAACATAGTTTTCAATAATATATTCAATGTATATTTACCTTTTTATGGTTAAGTTTACTATATTTTAGGAATATTTATTAATATTCTAAATTATTGACTAAGTTAGTATAATTCAAATATGGTTATTCTGATTATTGTATGATATGTTATAAGTACTTCTAATTGGTGAATATAATTAACTAAATTAATACCTACAACCGCAATGATAACATATTTAATCAAACTAATTTTTATAATATTTTATGATTGTGTCAATATACTACTATGAAATTAATCTTAAGATTTTATTGAAAACATATATAATGAATTTATGGTCATTTTAAGTCAATTTATAGTTAATCAATATTAGCCATTAAGTACATAAAAAATTATTAATTTTGTTCATATATAAATTACATAATAAATAAAGATTGATTATATGCCAAATGTAGACAAAAAAATCTGTTAAATTATAGCAATATGGATCAGTCCATCCCTCATATATACAGTTCCCGAATACGCTGAGCCTACGTGGCTGCTTCTGGTGCTTCGCAATCCTACTTGGCGAAGAATCATGCTTCGTAATTAGGTTTAGACAAATAATATTGATATATTAATAATTACTAATCTAGGTTCAGACATTCCATAAATATTATTTAGCTAACATAGGTACTTTAATATCACTTGTACTAATATAATCCTTTAATTCTTTGTATTTCACATAGTGAGACACTAAGTGACTAATATATCCCTGACTTTTGATTTGTTTCCTTTAATTAGCTATTGAATTGTAAATGTATTTTAAAAGTTGATAACTTTTGTATTTCTTATGGGTTTTACATATATAATATATCAAATTAATCATCTTTTGATGATCTTCGATTTGACATCCATATTGTATATATTAAATAAATAAATTATATTTATATTTATAATAAAATAATAATATTTATTCAAATTTATTATAAATATAAAATTATTTTTCAATTGATATATTTATGTTTAATGTAGTTATATATTCTAAGTTAAAAAAAATATTATAATATAACACAGATAAGTCGCATAAATAAAAAAGTGTCATACTAAATATATAATAATATATATATATATATGTGTGTGTGTGTTTATAAGAGGTATTTAAATTTTCAACTACTTTTTCTCCTTAATTTTATATTTTAAGAAAATATTAGCAAACACCCGTGTAATAAATGATCATTGAACTAGTTATATAGATATAGATACACAATAGGAGTAAATTAATTTTTTTATTCCATTTCCATAATAATATGTTCAGTAAATTAATACTAAAAAACTAATTGCTCAAAAACTTTTACCACCATGTATATTACATGTGCACCTTAGAGCATCCACAATGCTTTGTGTTCTTTCAAAAAAATATACAGGCCACATAGGAAATAGACTCGGTCTAGAAAAACATATACTCTAATGCAAATGCAATTGGACTGGATCCTACTGAGGTGGCAACATGAAAATGAGACTCGGTCTACCCTTGAGTCAATTTTCAACTCGAGTAGAGACCTATTCTCTTTACATTGAATGTAAATTCTTTTTTATATTTTTATCCATGTTAACCAAGACTTAAGTCTATTTATATGACATGTAAGCAAAATTAGACCCAAAACAATGTACAATGTACAGCTCTTACAAGTTTAACCAAAATTCATATGACACGTGCACTTTACTAGTTTAACAAATAATCAAACAACTTCTCTGCGTATCTCCTCTTTCCATTCATTACTACATGAATTAGGGCAAATCATTAATAATGAACCCATCCAGGATGTCGGTATACATTCGCAAAAGTCAAGCACAACAAATTAATAGAGACGTGATGACGAATATTTCACGATGATGCACTTGGACCTTAACAGAAATCAAGAACTCCCACACATTGAAGGGTGTGGTGCTCATTGACTCATATAGGGTGAGACTCATTTAAATATTTTAATTGATTCCTCTAACGTACGAACACTTCTCTTTTACCAAATTATATACACTAAATTATTTACCAAAAAAAAAAAAGAAGGCTTGAGTACCAAACTCAGCATCTTTCCAAAACAATCATACTTCAAGCATACTCAAGAATGTACAACAAAAAATTGTCCGCTGATATATAGACAACAATATAATTTCTAAGAATATTACCAACAAGAGCTGTGAAAAAAGGCCATCCGCTGGACGACCAATTTATTACAATGATACACAAACGAACCAAAAGTAGGTTCAATCTGATCGCCTACAGTCCAATAGCTTACAAAACCCCAAACAGAGTACAAAAACAGAACTCCAGTAGCTACTTTCTCAGTTACCTGCTCAAGCAGAATCAACTGAAGCCATCTCATCTCGTTCAACGTTTCGAGAGAAACTCTTGCGTCAAAGATGAAAAATCGAAATCTTTTCCTGCTGGTGAAGAAGCAGATGAACGTGATGCTGTGGACTCTTTGTCGGGTACCAAAGGTGTACAGCCATTACTGGAAGCATTAGCTCCAACTGAATACGCACTGCAACATGATTAAGAAATATGAGTAGTCTTGATAACAAACCATAAATAGAAATCATCAGGAAGTCTGTGATCCCCACTTTCACCTTTTCAAAAAAAAAAAAAAGTAAGACATGGTAGCTAAGCAGCTGAAAAATAATGTCAAGCGCACAACACTATTTTTTAATTTTGAAATGAAAATGGATTCGGTCTGGTATTTAGGCTAAAAGTCTGCTTGTATCTTTAATTAATGTCAGCAATTAATAATAATAATAATAATAATTCAAGAAAAATTTTAGAATTATATTGTTGTCTTGGAGGGAAAGCTACTGGTTCCAGCCATGAGGTCACTGAGATAAACAGGTTCAGCCATAGGTTGAGCTAGGACTCCAAGATAGTCCGTTGGAAGCTCGACCTGGAAGTAAGGAGGTCGTTGGAAGACCCAAAAAGCGGAGATATCAAATGAAGACCAGAACAACAAAGCACAGAAGGAACCGAGTTGTTAGTTCGGCTATACTTAGAATGATCACTTAATGAGGTGTGCTAACGTAAACACACCATATAATGTATAAGTACGAATATAATTAGGATAAGGACACATGGACAGAGGCATGTGGCTAACAAAATTGTGCAGTACCGGCATTCGGGCAGTATAATCGGGTAGTTCGACACTCGAGCACAAAGATCAGGAAGATCTTGGGCAACAAGGTAACACCTCTATATAAAAGTGTGAGGTATGATATTTAATAATAATAATAATAATAATAATAATAATAATAATAATAATAATAATAATAATAATAATAATAATAATAGTAGGAGTAGTAGTACACTTCAGTAGCTTGCCCTCCAAGACAAATACAATATTCAAATCAGTCAAGATTATCCCCATTCACACTCAGATCCATAAGCACTTTTGACCAAAATAACAAGAACATGAAATCTACCATGTAAATTACCGAGTATACCTCGACATCGGGACAGCACAAGAGTTTCCACCTGCTTGATGAGCTGCCGTTGTTCCTATGCTAGCCATCTGTTATCGAAGCAGACAAGAAGAAAGTGAACAAATTTACTGATGCTCTAAAAATCTCCATGACAGCATTGGAAGTCACTTTCTGTTACCTGCATGTATTTATCTAATTCATTCTTCCCAGCTGCTGACATTGTCATCCCGGGTATGTGGTAACCGACAGTCGGCCAGCTTTGGTTGCTTCCATTAAGCCCAAGTTGTGTGTTGCCATGAACTTTTGCCGTTCCCCCGGAAGCATTGGCTGCGGCAGCAAATAGAAGAGATTGTTGTTGTGCCAGCATAGCAAGTTGTTGTTGGTGAAGAGCAAATGGTGAGACGATATTGGTCTGCAATAGGGAAAAAGTACAATTGGTAGATTGACTACACTATGGAAATGAAAGTCCACTTGTGCCCCTAGATTTGTACCCTTTCTGCTACGTACAAGGGATAATTACAGAATATACCCCTAGGTTCAATCTAACTACCAGAAAGCGCAAGGAAAAAATATTTTTTATTTTAATAGAATGACCCCCTGATGTTAGTAATTACTTTACAAATATACCCTTTTGAGGGTGTACTTTTCCAGGATCAAACAAATGTTCAGGAATATGTGAAGAATTTTTAAAGATAATCAAGTTTTTTGTCACTAGGATAGACCTAAGGGTAGCTGTTATAATTAAGCATACATAATGTATAGATCTTTTTACGTGGGTTACTAACTATTGGCATTTTCTTCAGATACTCTGAAGAAAATTTTAAGAGTGGGGAAAGTATAACTTATCAGGCACAAAACATACCTTCTCAAAAAGAGACATAATATCACCTTTGACGTCCTTCTGAGTTTTTACAGATGTGATACTGGGTTCAATCGATGATGAATCATTAAATAGATCTTCGAGTCCAGATGCTGACTGTGATTTGTTTTCATCACTTTTTGCTGAAGAGTGGATCTTTTCTGACGACGATGGTGCATCAGCAGCTGCAACAAATCAATCATTACTTCCAGAGAAATACGCAGTAGCAGAAAAGCAACTAGAAAAAATGAAAACAACTTATGTAATGATGACCTTCATTTAGGGATTTTTGTTCAAATAATAGAATAGTGATTAATATCTTTTGCCATAATGAAAAACCTTGAGTGTCATGGGTACGAGATGATAATGTAATGATGATAGTTGATTTGAAATTAGAAGTACAATACTGATTCGATATGATTAGTTTTTAAATATGTCTTTGTGTGTGCAAATAGTGAAATTTATTGAACAATGTATCATAATGATAGGCTTGATCATTTGTGTATTAAATAAATTTAAATTATTGATAGAAATAAAAGGAAGTCACTGGTGTCTGTTTTTTTTTAAAAAAAAAAAATGTATGATGAATCTCAAAGATTTATGAAGGGAAAATTTCTCAAAATGAGTTTATTTCCAATCGCAAAGTTAAAGTCATGTACCCCATTGGCCCATCCCCATACAAGCATGCATTTCAGCATAAAACTTGCAGAAAATTCTGATGAGGACTATTCAAACTTACACTGAAATCCAGCCCACATGTTATCATCACCAGATGCTCCAGTGGCATTTTCACCAGAACTATCCATAGAAAGCATACTGAAGAGATCAGTAGCATAATCAACCTTTGGCTGAGACGCTATGTCTTCAACCTGTTTCAACGGCTCACCAGTTGCATCTGGTTCCAGTTTCTCGGTAACTACAGATGGAGCTACCTGTTACCAGACAAACAAATAAGGGCCCACATATTTGTAGCAAGCACATGAACTTAACAACGATAATTTCAATTTTCACACAGATATATAATAAAACTTTACATAGCGAAATGGCAAGTGTTTTATTCCTTACATTGTAAAGAATAATATAATGTAATTTATTTTGAAAATATTAGTGTACGTTAACAAGTAGAATAATAAAACATAAACTAAATTCAAAATACTTATTTAAAAGTCAACGGATGCATATTTACATATTCAATGATGCATATGTCGAAGTACTATGATATTCATTTCTTTAACCAATTGTACATCCATTGGATCTAGCATAATGGATGGTTGCGACTAATCCATATGTACTTATTTTAAGAATGGTTCTCATTAGAACCGGTCCCTATATATACACAGATATATAAGTACATATACACATGGGCAGTGCAACTAGATATAGATATATCAAAGTTTTAAATAGCGGGCTAAAACGTTTATAGCACTGTAGCTGTAGCGGAGCTATAGCGGAGATTTAGCGGGATTTAGCGGCTAAATTGCACAGGAATAGAAATAGCGGCACGCTGCCAAAAAAAGTTATTTCTCAAATAGCGGCAACTTTAGCGAGCTATTTATTTCCTTGAGATATATATAAGCATGGGCGATGCAACATACTTGTTCTGGCCATTTAAGAGGCATGGGCACACTCATTCTGGCAGCACGACTATTTTCTTTGGCACTAGATACTGAAACATTCTTCTTTTCATTTGAAAACTTCCCGGAATCGTTTACATGCCCATGCCCACTTCTGTTGCTTGGATTTTGCCACTGGCCGGAAGATGGCGATTCAATTCCCATTGCAGGGGACTTGGGTTTCCCATCCTTTGATATCCATCTCTTCTCTTCATACCTTAGTAGTGTAGACAAATGAATAAGACAAAAAACTTTCTAGTACCAGACAAAAGAAAGAGAAGTGCATGATGGAAATCCTTGAGGAAAAGAAGCCCCATACTTTGCACGAATAAAATTTTCTATCCCAACTCTATCGTAATTTGGCGGAAGCTCTGCCTCCCAGTAACTGTTTGCTTTCTCGTTTCCAACGGCTATGTTATACAAAGAAAACTCAATGTCATAAAATTCCATTGAAACGCCAACTTAGCGTGAAACAGATAGATTAAGACATGCAGACTTCTTACATTGAATAAATGCAACCTGTTCAGGGAGCCATGTGTCGAGTGTAGCAGATCTGACCTAGAAAAGACAAACTATATGTCAGCCATGAACCACAACTAGAAATCAACAATTCACTCACTTAAAAGGGAGAGAGAGAGAGAGAGAGAGAGAGAGAGACAGAACAAAATTGACTAAGAAATTAAGGTGCCAGTTGGATTTATATATTTTGCAGTTATGTATGGCCAGATATTTTTTTTTTTTTTTACAATGAGATTGTGATTGGATACAGAACAGTTTTAGAAAATACACCACTTATTCTAGCTCACTTTTTTGTGTCATCAGACCTATTAACACAGTTTAAAATGAAAACAACCATTACTACATATTTCCCAACAAAAAACATTATTCACCTATTCACTTATTTCTAACTACGAAACATTACCAATAAAAATTTTACAATTTTTATATTGCATCAATGTTAATCATTATATTTTACTGTATGACCATTTCATTCACAATCTAAAAAATGTTTCATCTTTCTCCTATTTTTTTCCACCTTTCTATCTCTCTTGTCTGGCGACACAAAATTTTCGAAAAAGTTCTATATCCAATTGCCTCCAAAGTGATTCTTCTACATACTTCAGGTTGAGGAAAGATAATAACATGCAAAAGGCAAAAGTTGACATTAAGAACCTTAAGAGGAGAAGAAAAAACAAGCAAAATAAATAAATAAATAAATAAAAATAAGCAACAGTATAAACCCCTTGAATGATTCATCTAATTATGCAAAGTAAACCTCTAGAAACAAACTGGCCAACATGCAAGGGGAAACAAGTTTTATAAAGGTTGCCTTGGCAATGTCTTCCAATGATTGCCACCAAACAATAATGTAAAATGTGCCTATGTAATCGTAAACTTCACCCCACATAGGTACAAACTTACAAAATTTGTCCTTTAATACAGCTTAAAGTATCATAAAAAAACTACCAAGTGAGCACTTATCCGCAATAATTTAAAAAATATGGATACAGCAAATATGGCACCTTTGATATATGTACTCCAAGACTTCTGTGGATCCCAGAGCATTGCATGCAAATAAATATGCCCAAGTTCACACTAGCCCATCGAGGACCTCTGTTACACATCCCACACATGGACAGTTGCACACACGAAAAGGATAAAAAAAGAAATAGAAGTGTCATAATCTCAAGAGCAGAACATAAGATGATATATAGTCTTCGATTGGCCTTCCGTTACTTTATGCTCAGTGCCAATTGCCAACCAAACAAATGTAAATAATCTGAAGCACTTACTTGCATTTGCAATCAGCACATTCCCTATTTTCTGGCAATTTAAGAAGTCCTTCTAAAATCTGACAACACGGAGGTCATAATATATTATCAAATCTCAAGAAGAGAATAAAGATATGAAGCAACTACACCCAGGTTATAAAATTTTGGTGGAAAGAGTAAAGACATCAAATACGTAAAGGGAATCATGAAAGAACCAAAGAGAAGAACATCAGACTGCAGAAGTACAAAATGATGCGAATAAATGTCAGCACTACACATCTCTAGCCACATCTGTAAACTAGCATCCTTGTAATATGGTGATTTATGATTCTGGTATCACTAATCAATCAGACATTAGAGTTCATAAAACTCCAAAATCAACTCGACCAGATTGCTCTCAGATGTGTTAATATCTACGACTTTTGATTTAGAAACAAAATAAATTCTCTAAACATTTTCGGCTCCTCGTCTGTAGCTAATACAACTTTCACCATAAGCCCTCAATCAACAATAATATACCAATCCACAGTGTCCTACTTAGTAACATCAGCCAAACAGAGGTCCTAGTAAATAAGACAGACATGTGACAAAAACAGATACTTGCAACTGACTAGATCCAAACCTGCATAGATTATCAACATATCACCTATCCAGATCAAATCAAACTGAAAGCCATCAAATCTCAAGGTATACAGAATTAAACAACCTCAACCCTTGAAAAAACATATTCCACCTGACTAATCACATCTGACAACATCAATCAAAGAATACACCCTCAAACACATAATAAGCCTGACCAATGAATCATCAAATCAGTTACACCAACCATTCCACAAGCCCGCCAAACGCCGAACCACAAGCATTAAGTTGACAAATCGATCATTCAGCTCGGCGCGGAAACATAATATAATTAAAGTTAATTGGATAAATTCAAATCCAGCGACAAAATTACTACCTTGCGATGCTTGGCGTTAAGCTCTTTGGAAACGCTGGCCTTGTCATTCATGGTGGGATTGAAACTTCGAATTTGGCAGCGAAGAGAGGAGAAAGAGAGAAGGAACACGCGGCTGTGATTTCTTCCTCACCCCTCTTCCACCCTCTGAAGACCGTTAGATTGGATTAACAGCAAATAATGTAGATTGTAGAAGACTGATGGCAATGGCGAATCCAAGTTCGTTTATGAATTGACTTTTTATTTTATTTATTTTCGTTTTGTGTTTATAATTATAAGTCTATTATAAAATGCGGGGAAGATAAAGAACACCATATAAAAATTAGATATAAATTGCAAGAATCTTTTTTCTTTCACTTTTTTCGTCCAAACATCACAATGCTTTTGGCCCTTTTATAAGTAAAGGGGCACACATTCCAATACATATTTCACATATAATAATGTAGATGATAAGTAGTGGTAAATTCCGCTTTTACATAACACTCCCTCTTGGAATTACCACTATTAAATGTGCGTTTATGATGCCTCGTTAAAAACCTTATCTGGAAAAACCGTGTGGGAAAAACCGATATAAGGAAAAAAGAGTACAGCCACACAGACTCTCCCTTGAGTTATCATCTGTACAAATTCCAAAGATGTTTCATCCCAATTTTGTGTACATGCTTTCGAAATATTGTCGTTGGAAGCGCCTTCGTAAATAAATTTTGCTGCATTATCGCTTGGTCGAATGTATTGAACTTTGATTTGTTTGTTTCTTTCAAGCTCTTGAGCATATGAGAAGAACTTTGGCAGGATATGTTTAGTTCTGTCATTCTTGATGTATCCTTCTTTGGTTTGATCTACACATGCTGCATTGTCTTCGAATATCACCGTCGGGTCATTATTGTTCGATAGTCCACTGGCTTGTTGAATATGTTGAGTCATGTTTCTGAGCCAGATACTTTCCCTAGTTGCTTCATGAAGTGCAATGATCTCAGCATGGTTTGAAGACGTCGCAACTAATGTTTGTTTCTGGGAACGCCAAGAAAATGTAGTTGCACCAATCGTGAAAACGTAGCCAGTTTGAGATCTTGCTTTATGGGGGTCTGATAGATATCTTGCATCTGCAAAACCGATTATTTCATGTTTTTTTATCATTAGAGTAAAGCAATCCCAAATTGATTGTCCCTTGGAGATAACGAAATATATGCTTGATTCCATTCCAATGTCTCATCGTAGGTGCGAGTTATATCTCGCTAACAAGTTGGTAGCAAAAGATATATCAGGTCTGGTGCAATTTTCAAGATACATAAGAGCTCCTATTGCACTCATATATGGTATTTCAAGACCAAGTATTTCTTCATTTTCTTCACAAGGTCGAAATGGATCTTTTTCAACATCTAATGTTCGATTGACCATTGGGGCACTAAGTGGATTAGCCTTGTCCATATTGAATTGTTTCAGTACTCTTCTAGTGTAATTGGATTGATGGACAAATATCTCATTTTGGACTCGTTCTATTTGCAAGTCGAGACAATATCTGGTTTCTTCGAGATCTTACATTTCAAATTCACCTTTTAGTAAAGTGACTGCTTTTTTAATTTCATTTATAGTCCCAATAATATTAAGATCATCGACATAGACAACAATTATCACAACTCAATCTTGTGATCTTTTATAAAGACACACGGGCATATTTGATTATTTATGTATCCCCGTTTTAGTAAATGTTCACTCAAACAATTATACCACATACGCCTGGATTGTTCCAAGCCATACAATGATCTTTGCAGTTTTATTGCATATAACTCTTTTTGGACTTTAGCGCCTCGGGTATTCTAATTCCTTCTGGAATTTTCATATAAATGTCAGCGTCTAGCAATCCATATAAGTAAGCAGTCACAACATCCATGAGACGCATCTCAAGATTTTCATGGATGGCCAAACTAATCAAGTATCTGAAAGTAAATGCATCCATAAGAGGGGAATATGTTTCATCATAATCGATCCCAGGCCTCTGGGAGAACCCCTGTGCTACAAGGCGAGCTTTATATCTTGTGATCTCATTTTTCTCATTTCTTTTTTTGACAAAAACCCATCTGTATCCAATAGGTTTTATGTCTTTGGGTATAATGGTAATAGGTCCAAAAACCTTTCGTTTATTAAGCGAACTTAACTCGGCTTGAATAGCACCTTTTCACCTGTCACAATCATGTCTTTTCTGACATTCAATCATAGATTTTGGTTCAGGATCCTCAACTTCTTTGTCAATTTCTTGTGATACCATATATGCGAATGCATCATTAATGATCTCATCACGCTTCCAAAGTTTTCCATTATTTACGTAATTGATGGAGATTTCAATATTTTCATTTTTTCTCAAAATTTTTCCATCATCCTGATTCTTTTTCAAATTCGAATCTTGAATTTCTCTTTTCTTTCGAGGATTCTTATCTTTAGACACCACTGGTCTTCCTCGTTTCAAGCGTGTCTTTAATTCATTTGACATATCGTCATTTGCCATTTTTTGTGGAATCTCTATTCGAGCAGGGGCATTTATAGCTGCAACATGTGATTTTGTCACTCTTTTTGTGTCAGTAAATACATCTGGCAATTGATTGGCAATATTTTACAAATGTATGATCTTTTAAACTTCTTGCTCTCTTTGTTTGGTGGGAGGATCAAGATATGATAGTGATGATGTTCTCCATTCAATTTTTCTCTCAATTGACTTTTCATTCCCACCTAAAGGGGGGAATAATTTTTCATTAAAATGACAATCATCAAACCGAGCTGTAAAAATGTCACCTGTTTTTGGCTCAAGGTATTTGATTATTGATGGAGATTCATATCCAACATATATTCTCAACCTTCTTTGAGGCCCCATTTTTGTACGTTGGGGCGGAGCAATTGGTACATACACTGCACAACCAAAAACTCTTATATGTGCAATATTGGGTTATTTACCATATGGCAACTGTAATGGCGAGTATGTATGGTGTGCACTTGGTCTTATTCGAATTAGATTATCTGCATGCAGAATAGCATGTCCCCATATTGAAGTGGGGAGTTTTGTCCTCATTATCAATGGTCTAGCTATAAGCTGCAGTCGTTTAATCAATGATTCTGCTAGACCATTTTGAGTGTGAACATGTGCTACAGGATGTTCAACATCAATTCCCACTGCCATACAATAATCATTAAATGTTTGAGATGTAAACTCTTCAGCATTGTCAAGTCTGACTCTTTTGATAATATAATCTGGGAATTGAGCCCTTAATTTATCAAGTTGGGCAAGTAATTTAGCAAATGCCACATTTCTAGTGGATAACAAACTCACGTGAGACCATCTACTAGAGGCATCAATTAACACCATGATATATGATATTATACTGGACCCGGTTTAAGGGACAAAGCGGATACATATTGAAGGATAAGCCCACTAAGACATTTAAGCCCAACGATAGGGGTCAAGCCCAACTTGGGCCCAAAAGGTACACTCCCCCTATAAAAGGGGGCCAAGGTACCTCATTCTCTCATTCTCTACTCATTTGATAACTACACTTTCTCTCTCTCTTGATGGAGCACTGACTTAGGCATCGGAGGCCCGACGCCGGGGCCACCCCCGGCGTTGGGTTCTTGCAGGTACGGAGGCCGGTCGAGTTGAAGAAGCCCAGGTGAAATCTATTTCACTTCATTGGCCCCGTCTGTGGGGACCCGTCAAAAAGTCAAGCGGAGTTCCGACTGAAAAAATTCAAAAACCTCCTTCTTCTCCACCGGCTGCCGCCACCGCCGGCCGCCGCTGGTCGCCGCCGGCCGCCGGAAAACGTGCTCCGATCGGAAAATTGTTAACGTCATCGGATAGATCTCCTCAAGGTGAATCTACCCTTAAAATTTCATGCAAAAATTCATTCGGGAAGACCTTCAATTTCGTGGTCAACGGTCCTAGATCTAGGGAAAAAATCGGTCAAAATCGAGCATTCAAATGCATTTTTCCGACGACCCGGGAAAGCTATAAAAAATCTGGGAGCACCACTAGAATCCGCTCGTCGAGGCGTGTTTCCAGGTTATCACCTCCACCGCCGTTGCCGTCGGCCGCCGCCTACCGCCGCCGCCGTCCAACGTCGTCTAATCTGAAAAATTCCTACACCATCGCGAATCTCTCCTCGATCTTGTTCTACCCTTGAAATATCGTGCAAAAAATCTTCCGAGAAGGTCGTCGATTTATCGGTCAAAGTTTTTGGATCGAAGGAATGTGGTGGTCAACTCCGTCTTCTCCCCCAATTTCCCAACGATTTTCGGTGGTTCACTTTGGTCCGACAGTAGAATCAGAATTGTCTTGTAGAGATGCACTTCCAGCTGGTGATTCTCGTCGGATTTGGCGAAGCTCGGCCAAGGACTTCTTCTTTTTCCCGGCGAGCGCAGCTTCTGTTCACGCTGCTTGTAGATTCGCCAAAGGCCCGACACAGAACAGTCTGCGACGCTGTCTGGCACGGCGAGGAAGCGGCCCGAAGTACTGGCCCAGCATCTGTGATCTAAGAGCCCAGAAGAGTAGGCCCGAGTTCGAAGCCCAGTGTGGAGGGCCCAATTGCACGAAGCCCAGGAAGAGGAAAAGCGCGCGGGCCAGCTTCGGCCCGCAAAGCCCGAATCCCCTCAGATTTCAGCCCGCGTGGGCCCGCGCGCGGCCCGCGACCCGCATAGCTCCCAGCCCGCATTTCGGCCCATTCCTCAGCCCGCGAGTGGCCCAACTGGCTTGTGCACGGCCCAATCGCTCAATGTGGCCCGTCAGCGCCCCAGTAAGGCCTATTAGCGCCTCAGGGCACTTGGATCGAGCCCAAATGGCCCACCAGTGATCAAAACTGGCCCAGAATGGTATAACAGCCTATTTTTCCACCCAAAATTAATTCCGGGTGATTAAACGTGGATGGTAAGGTAATTTGAGATAAAATTCTCATGATGAAGGTATGAAATTAATTTAAAGTATGGGTATGAGGGATTTTTGAATTGGTGGAAATGAGACAAATTGCTTGATTTAAATTGGACAATTTGGAGACTTGATGATTCAAATTGGTGAA